GTAATATAGCGGTATATCACTAAGATGTCACAAACCTGTGTATTCTGAAGAGTTGTGTAAGAACAAACTGGATAGCCTTACTGACCCAACCACAGACAGCTTCAATACCCTTAAGGAATCCAATGGCAACATCGAGTATGTTACAGAGACCTTTACCGATATAATTCAGAGCCTGGCATGTTCCCTCACATAGATGTGATATGGCTGGAAACAGAAGATATTTATCGTCAATACATGTACAACTGACACTGGTGAAAAACGCACTGCGCATGTCCACAGCTTTCCCTCTGAAATCTGCCTAATTTTCTTTGTAAAGCGATTTTTGTGAAAGTTTTTTTACAATTTATAAGCTCGTTCACCGATATATAAGATTCATATTTCCGTCAATCATTGTTCATGATATGTTCTTTTAGTACTGATGTAGTTTCTATTTTTATCTTTTTATTTCTATTTTTAGAAAATGAGGTTTTTCGTAGTGTTTTTTGTGTTGTCGCTGTAAATCGCCAGGCGCTCTGTTTACAGATTTCAAGACGCGAGCACTCACTGGCGGGATAGCTGTGGGCATGCGCAGTGCGTTCTTCACAAGTGTCTGTACAACTAACAATTCTTCATAAACGCACTTCAATACAAATTAGGTAGAATCGTATTTGTGCAATACAATTCGGTGAAGTTTAGTGCTATAGGGGGCTATCAATGATAATTCATTTCCCATGAGTCCTTRCTACTATGACGTCAAATTGTATAAATATGACGTCATAAAAATCTTCATTTCATTGCAAAAGAATCGTTTTGAGAAACTAAAAGCCAGATTTCTATTCTTACAATTTCTTTAGATTAAATTGGTTTTACACAATTAGAAGGACTTTTTTTGAATAAAAGTACTATAATCAAAATATTTACCGGTGCATCCACCTCCAACTATGCCTTCGCATATCAGTTTGCTGATAAAACGTCGCTTTCTCACATGTAAAGCAAACAGTTCGTTCTGCTGGTTTTGTAGCTCTCTCTTTCTTCGCCAACCCTTAAAGATCTTCTTCACGAAGTTTCCAACCTGTCAATTCAAGATACAACCCAATAACACACTGAATATTTGATTGATTGAGTAGTTGGTTGGTTGGTTGGGTGGATGGATGGGAGGTTATTTGGTTGGTTGAACGATTGATTGGCTGGTTGCTTGGTTGCTTGATTGGTTGCTTGGTCGCTTGGTTGCTTGGTTGCTTGGTTGCTTGGTTGCTTGGTTGCTTGGTTGCTTGGTTGCTTGGTTGCTTGGTTGCTTGGTTGCTTGGTTGCTTGGTTGGCAGGGTGAGTTGGATCTTGGGTAGTAGCTTGGCTGCTTGGTTGCTTGCTTGGGTGGTTGGGTGGATTGGTTTGCTGGTCAGTTGGTTGATAGAGTGATTCCGTTGTTTGGTAGGTTGATCAGTTGGTTGGTTGGGTGGATAAAAGACTAGAATTATACTTACTGCCTTAAATGCTTTTCCAATTTTCTTAACCGTCTTCACTACCCACTGACCTATAACATAAACAGCCTTATATCGTCAAAATCATCAACTTAAATTCATATCAATTAATACTGTAATCACAATCATTGGATATCTATTTAATACTAATTATTATTATCAATAAATCTATTGTACCAGCTGCGTTGACGACTCCTCCGATCCATTTTCCAAACCTATCCAACGCGCCTTTGCAGTTTCTCGTTGCTTGTTGACACTTCAAATTCTTACATCGATCGCATTTCAGCGACATCTTTCTCTTACAGTCCTCTTTAGCATTGATAACCTTCCTTCGCGCGTCCCCGAGCTTCTTTTGAGCAGCTTCAAAAGCACCTTTAACTGCRTCTGCGGCAGCATCGAGAGCCTAAAGAAAGACAATAAAAAATGTTTATGAAATGTGTCATAAGAGTTTGTTTGAATTGAAGTGGGCATTGAACAATTAACTGATATCTGAATAAATGTTTTTGAATTTATATGTGCCGTCAATGGCTGTAATACTTCAAGAAAGGTTGTGTGGTTGAAACATTATTTAAGTTAAGATATTCGAAGATCTGAAATCCGTCGATTTTAGCAGTTTTCTGTTGCAGTTGTTTTTTTTGTTTCATTGTTTTTTTTTTCTTTTGATGCGCTGTTCGTGTTTCTTGGTTGTTGTTGCTGTTGCTGTTGTTGCTATTGTTGTTGTTGTTGTTGTTGTTGCTGTCATTGTTGATGCTTTTGTTGTTGTTGTTGTTGATGATGATGATGATGATGGTGTTGTTGCTATTGTTGTTGTTGTTGTTGTTGCCATTGTTGATGCTTTTGTTGTTGTTGTTGTTGATGATGATGATGATGGTGTTGATGCTTTTGTTGTTGTTGTTGTTGTTGTTGTTGTTGTTGATGATGATGATGATGATGGTGTTGATGCTTTTGTTGTTTTTGTTGTTGTTGCTGATGTTTTGAAAGATGATTTTTATCGCGGATTTGCGATTTCCTTACACCTCTTACAAAACCCAAATTTGGCAACTAAAAAAAGCAAAGTACGATTCATACTCACCGCATTAATTCCAGAAAGATCAACCACAACTCGAACGTAAAACTTCGCGCCATCGAAAGAAAACTTCAAACCATACTCTGCTGCAACAAACACTTCTGCTTTGATGAGATTCAAGAAGTTTCCTTGAACCAGCAATTCCATCTGAGTCATTGTTATATTAAGTCTGGTGTACACCGAAATAGAGAATATATCAATGTATCCC